TTTGTTATGTTTCTTATTATTGTTATGTTTCTTATTATTATTCTTCTTCCAATTTTGTGGGTTCGTAATCTTTTAAATGTAAATATATAGATATACAGTCTATTCACCTATTTGTAGATACGTATATGAAGTTGTCGATGCCGATTTTTTAAGTAGGTCAAAAATCCAATATGGCCGCCATGACGTTATAAGTTAAAAACTTAAAAACGGCAATATCTCGAAAACCGTTGATCATACAGAATTTGTGCAATTATAATATTTTTAGAGAATTTCCTTATCTAAATTTTTGTCATTGACATGTTATAGGGAGAATATGTCGAATAAAAAAGCTCGCTGTTGGGTAAAGTTTTCAAAATTTAACAAATATTTAATTTTTTTTTCAATTTTGAATTTTCTTGAAATTTTCTTCTTCAGATCGATGCAGAACGCCCTTCCGATAAATTTAGTGTTTTCAGTTCTTCTGAAACGTTTACCATTTCCGCTGTACGCCATTTTGAAAATTTCCTTTGATCTTTTAAAAATGCCGACAACTAGGAAAAACTCGTTCAAGAACAATATTGATGGGCTATATTTTATCAACTTGTTACTGAGAAGATTTCCCCAGATGTCTTCTACCATTAAGTGACATATTCAAATTCATCGGAAAAACAAAATGGCCGCCATGACGTCATATCCGATTTTACCTAAAATGCCGCAACTCAAGAACTGTTTTAGCTAGTGACCTCAATTTTAATCATATTATGTAAATTAATAATAAAACAATTTTCACAAGAAAAAAAAAACTGGGATCAAAGGTCAACTTCCGGTCTTCGGTAGGGGTCAAAGTTCAAAAGTGTTATTTTAAGTTACAAACTTTGACAAATTTTTTCTCAAGTTCTGCAAAGCCTTGAGTCTTAATATTTCATGTGTAAGATGTCTGATCAATTATCTATAAGGTTACTTAATATAAATGACCTTGACTCACTTTCAAGGTCACAGGAGTCAATTATGTAAAAATCGTTAAATGGTAATTTCTCCTTTGTTAAGCTGCCCAAAGTCTTCAACTTTGGACATAAATATTCTGTGGACATTTCCTGTCGAGTGATATAAGAGAAACGTACCTCAAATTCAACTTCCGGTTTGCGGTAGGAGGTCAAAGTTGAAAAGTGCTATTAAGGGTACCAATTTTTGAAAAACTTCTTCTCTAGTTCTGGATGGCCTAGAAGGTAACTTGATATAAATTCACATATAAGAAGCATATGTAACAGACAACAAAGTTTGATAATATAAATGACCTTGACCCACTTTCAAGGTCACAGATGTCAATTAACTAAAAATCGATAAATGAAAGTTTCTCAATTTCTAGAAGGCATACAATGATGAAAATTGATTATAAACCTTCTGTGCAGACTTCCTAGTGATTGTCATAAGGAAAACTTACCTCAAAATGTCAACTTCCGGTTTCCCAAAGGGGTCAAAGTTCAAATATACAAAATAGGGTACCAGTGTTCAACAATCTTCTTGTCAAGTTTCACAAGGTCTAGAGAACTAATATTGGGGATATATTGATCATCAGATGTTACATTATAAGGCTTGCAAATATGAATAACCTTGACTGACATTCAAGGTCACAGGGGTCAAATATGTTTGAACCTTTAAAAAGTGTATTTCTTCGTTATTATGAAGTTATATCTCCTTAACGTTTCAAGATTCAAAGTTCATCTTTGGATATGTTGTATGGGCTAACAAACAAGGAACCTTTCTCATATATCGTTATCAGGATAAATGTCAACTTCCGGTCAACTTTGACATGTTGGTATTTTCTTGTTACTGACCTAGTTTTATAGAATTTGAGTTTGGATTATGTTGACATGTTGGTATTTTCTTGTTACTGACCTAGTTTTATAGAATTTGAGTTTGGATTATGATTATGGTGACATGTTGTTATTTCTTATTTATAACCACTATATATAAAATCACAAATTACAATTTAACTTCAAAAATATTTATTTTTTAATGGATATGTATTCAGTTTACAATTACATTAAAAATATAGAACATATGAAAGTGTTTCAAACAAAATATTATGCATTTTTTCAATCTACAACAGCTTGTTGCTTTAATACAAAACAAGAGGCCCAAGGGGCCTTAACGGTCACTTGAGGAATATATGTCAATAACCTGGGGATTTTAAAATGTTGCAAAAATGTAACAACACTTGTGCAGGACCATGTGTAAAACATCTGTACAAAGTTTGAACATGACCCACTCAATGGTTCTTGAGAGGAAGTCCATAATGTCTTAGCCAAACACAGGCCAGGGTGGCCATCTTGGATTTTGAATCGCCCCAAAAAGTTAAAACACTTGCCAGGACCTTGTGTAGAACATTTGTATCAAGTTTCCCCCTTCTGGAGCCCCTATTGGGCCCACACCCTTTTTCTTCGCAAACTTGAAGCGTCTTCCCATGGGGATGCTTTGTGCCAAGTTTGGTCAAAATCCATCTACTGGTTCTTGCGAAGTAGTCATTTAAAGAAGGTTTTTACATATGGCCCCTTTTACACCCCTTATGGGCCCCAAAGAGGACATAATCACTTTTTTCAACATAATTTCATATGTTCTTCTCTAAGGGATGCTTTCTACCAAATTTGGTTGAAATCGGTCAAAGTTGATTTTTTGACCCTTTTGAGTGCCCCCTAGTGGGGCCGTTTTTGACCCAATTTTTTTTCATTCGCAAACTTTGTAGACCATGCCATAAGGACCCTAAATATCAAATATGAACTTAATCTGACTGTTGGTTCATGAGAAGAAGATTTTTAAAGATTTACCTAATTTTACACCCTTTTCCCCCTCCTGGGCCCCTATTGGGGCCAAGCCCTTTTTCTTTGCAAACTAAAAGCGGCTTCCCATGGAGATGCTTTGTGCCAAGTTTGGTCAAAATCTATTCAGTGGTTCTCGAGAAGAAGTCGAATATGTGAAAAGTTAACGACGCACAACGACAGACAAACTATGATGGCAATAGGTCACCATGAGCCTCCGGCTCAGGCGACCTAAAAATGTAATAAGTAATTGTACATGTATACATAGGAATTACCAGATATGACAGTGTATGTATTTCACATCTGTGGGTATCTTCTTTACCAACTAACACACTTTTTGATTCTTCACTTGATAAAAGGTTTGCAGATGTTTTGAAAGTGAAATAATAGTTACTATTGAAAATATTTTCTCTATCTTACTGAATACTGTCTAAAATAATTTCTCATTTGTCTTAATTCTGATTGTCTAGGTATAGCATTTTTTCAGGTAAACATATATGTCAGCAAAGCTATATCAATTATATTGACTGTAAATGCCAAATCAAGACAGTTTTATGGCTGCAGTTTTTAGTTATTTCATGAACACCCTTATTTAGACTAAACAAAATTATTGATTTCCTAATGTAATCAATAATCATTAATCTATAAAACTTTTGGTAAGTGGACAGCAGTCATCATTTCAAAAATTAAATCCTGACGTCACAATGACAAGCAATGGCATATACTACCTGATAAACGCATCTTTTATCTGGTAGATTATACAAGGAAGCATTCATAATGTTAAAGTATACAAGTTGTTGGATATACATACCATATTTACCCTAATTAGCCCACTGTAAGCTTACAACTGTACAAAAAGGCATGCTTAATAAGACTACTTGCAGGGGAAAGTTTCCACATGTACAAAATACTGCAAAATCATAAATTTTCAGGCAGCTTAATTTTCATGGATTTTCAAAAATGACTATTTTATGGATACATATAGCTCAATCACTCTACTAGGCAAATTATTTTGTGGATTAAGAGTAACATCAAACTGATGAAAATGAAACCACCACAAAAATTTATGATTTAACAGTAAGATGAGCTCAGTAGTTTAAAAAATAATTAAAAGAAAACGTAAATTTCAGTCATATGATCTTCTGTGCACATAAATGGAGGCAAGGAAAGGCTAAAAAGCACTGTATTGTATATCATGAAATTAAACTGATTATTTTTTACCATCTGTGATGACCTGTCTTCTTCCCTCAAAAAATGATAATAATAAAAATACATTCAGAAATATCAAAATATACATTGTTTACAGCTTACCGTATGGCCGTTATTTTCATGGGACAATATTTTCACTTTTTGACATGTCCAAAAAAATTTAATCCATGAACTACTGAGACACTTGAGTATTCAATGTCCTTTTAAATCTAGATTAAAAAAACATAAATCATTGTAAAACAGATTGTTTTATATACAAACAGTGAAAATTTTGTGAAAATAACCAGTTATATGGTATTTGTTATCTGATTCAAGCAAATGGAATTGAATTCTTGTTCCTACATAATACTACAGACATACTGATGTCTGCTCAACTTCACAACAAAGACACTTTTGCTGCTGTGTATGTATAAAGCTATGTACCAAACACATTTAGTATATAAGCTTAAGACTAAAATGCTCGACAACCTATCCAGATATTGTTGACAGTGGTTAACCTGTTTAAATAAAGTCAACACTTGTCTACAATAACAGGTGTAAAAAGTATGATTAACACTTATAAGTATGATTAAAACTAAAAGTTAATTGACTTCATGGTAACCGTTATAATACAGCCATTGAGTTAACAACCCGCAAATGGGAAACAAAACAAACAGTTAAATGATGTCTGGGTAAAAAAAGTTTACAGAGATTAACACTTGGTTGGGTGGGTATCAACAGATTTCTCATGAAGACTTCGACTATTCATTATCCATTTCTATGGATAAAATACCTAAATTTTTCATGCAGATCATATCTAGTTTGGTGAACCGACATACATTTGTATATCTAAAGCATTTGTTTGTATGTGTGCATGGATTTGATATCTTGATACAGTTAAGAAAAATTTCAATTTAAAATTTAAATTTTGTTAAAAAAGAAATCATTAATGAAAACAATCTAAATCTGGAAATGACATTTTTGATAAAATACTAAAAATGTGATAATTTTCTCATTTCTTTAAACATTATTTTGTTTTCATTTGCACAAATATCAAAATAAATATTTCCACAGTGAACATATCACTTCCCTACTGTCCTGTTTAATTTACTGTACCATATCAATAACTCGTCCAATGTGAATTAATACTAACAGTTTATACTACATTACAGTTCCTGTGAGTCAGTGTTCACCTCAAATCCAATAGAGTGACATGACTCATTGTCAGAGTCTTGGGAATCAGGCCTGTTGATGATAATGTCCGCGTCCTTGGATTCGAGGCTCTTTGTGGTATTGTTGGAGTCCTTGGATTTGTGCTGGTTTGTGGAGTTAACAAGGGGAGATGACAAAATGTCACTGCTGTGGGTTCTTTTCTGGTTAGATGAATGTTTGACTGGAGAGTTCATAACATGTTTGTGTTTAATGTCGGACAAACTATCCAACATACTATCGATACTAGACATCACATTGTCACCAGTAATCTCTGATGGTAAGGAGTTACCTCCCTTCTTTGTTGTAGACGTCGCTGATGGTAATGCTTTCTGTTTTCCTGAATGTTCTCCCTCTACACAGCCAGAACTACAGGGAGAACAACATGATTGATTCAGAGTAGAAAATGATATGCTGGCCCTCTCTGTGACTGCTGGTATTTCCTCACACAAATTATCGTCCTTTGAAAGAATGGAATCACTACAATCCGAGACATCAGAGTAGACAGACCAGTCTGAGGTGTCCACATGGTCAGTTGTACTGCTTACCGTGGTCACTCCAACATTTGCTGGAACCATGTTTTTGACTTCTTCACACGTTTGGTCCGCAAGATTTTCTGCTGGATTGGACATTGCTTTGGTTTCAAAGGACATTTCTTGAAAATTTAAAGTACTTCTTTCATTGTTTGGGGAATTCTTTTCAATTTCAAAATCTTCATGACAGTTTTCTGGCATTGCTGATGAAGTGAGAGTGTTTTTGGGTTCACCTCTTCCAAGTGATGAGGTGGTTCCAGTTTTTGAAGAGTTCACACCAGTACCTGATGAACGGACACAATCAAGTTGACTATTATTGCACACATTAACTGCCTTGGCAGTTAAAGATTTGTTTTTATCTTCAGCTGAAAGATATTCAGCAATAACATTTTCAAATCCTTCAGTCACGTTTTTGTCTTCTTGTGTTAATTTTACAAGAGCATTGAAAAGGTTCGGTGTGGATTCAGAACCACCATCCCGCGACTCCACACAGTCACCTCCCTTGTTAGTCTGGCTATCTTCTGTCCTTATCTTCTCATCAACCTTCTCATCCGAGAACCTATCTGCCTGTCGTACATCTGTATGTGAAATAGTTTTCTTGTAATATTTTGATGGACTCATAATGCTGAACTTTTTCCTTTTCTTTTCACCAGCACTGCCTGGACGAGTGTTGTCAGATTTTTCCTTTTCACATGGATGATTTTTGGTACTGTTCATAGTTACCCCCTCATGTTTCAACATCAAGGCTAAGTCGATCAGGTCCATTTTACAGATGTCTGTCATAACAATGGAAGGCTGCATGGCCACCAACATGACATTTGTTGTGTCATATTTAGTATGGATTTCCATGTAGTCAGTGTAATTGTCAGGGTGATTTATCTGGATATGTTGCTTAACGCGGAATGATGTCTCAGCCATATAATTACAGTACGCACAAAGGAAAGCTGATCCTTTCTTCTTCGACGTCCCCTCCATGAATCTCCCTAGCTCCTCCTCCACTGGTTTCTGAAGATCCTTTGGAAGCAGACGAGGACACAGCTGATTAAATCCACCATGTGTAACAAGGTGGCGACAATAGATTTCAAGATCTTCCGTATGGAAAGGACACTGATGGCAGAAGTAATGTGTTGGCCCATAATCTGTACAACACAGGAAACATTGAAAGTCATGATTGCTTTAGATCATATGTCTTTTCATAAGAGTGTCATTTTATTCATAACCATATATTTATGTAATTTGGTTATATTGGTATTTATCAGATAAAAATGTTCTGACTTTTTGTACATTTTGTGCCTTGATCTTTTAGAAAATTAATTATTTCTTTGGCTAATATAATGTCTATCATTGATTGGGTATCAAATTTAGCAATTTTTCAATAACGCTGTCACATTTTTCACTTGATTTCTAGGATTTGAGGTATTCAACTTATCAACATCAGTATGTTTATTAGAAAACAGTCCTACTGATCATCAACTATTCATAACTCATTACAATTTAAGATACTTTTTACTAACCTACCTGTATGGTGTTTATCTGCTTTGTTTTGTCTATCAGCCTATTTCTATGTTCCTTAACCAATCTTGATCACAAATCTCATAATTTCCTGCCTACCTTTATCCCTATATCATATCTACCTGTCCCTTAATTACCTATCTATATCATTTTACCTGTCTTTAAATGACCTAACAACCTATATTTCTCTGTCTAAAAATAACATGACCATACTTATTTCATATTCACCTTCTCTAAATCAATTGACTACATTTATCTCTATTTTCCATTGACTTATATCTAACACACCTGGCTACATTTATCTCTATTTTCCATTGACTTATATCTAAAACACCTGGTTACATTTATCTCTATTTTCCATTGACTTATATCTAAAACACCAGACTACATTTATCTCTATTTTCCATTGACTTATATCTAAAACACCTGGCTACATTTATCTCTATTTTCCATTGACTTATATCTAAAACACCTGGCTACATTTATCTCTATTTTCCATTGACTTATATCTAAAACACCAGACTACATTTATCTCTATTTTCCATTGACTTATATCTAAAACACCTGGCTACATTTATCTCTATTTTCCATTGACTTATATCTAAAACACCAGACTACATTTATCTCTATTTTCCATTGACTTATATCTAAAACACCTGGCTACATATCTCTATTTTCCATTGACTTATATCTAAAACACCAGACTACATTTATCTCTATTTTCCATTGACTTATATCTAAAACACCAGACTACATTTATCTCTATTTTCCATTGACTTATATCTAAAACACCAGACTACATTTATCTCTATTTTCCATTGACTTATATCTAAAACACCTGGCTACATTTATCTCTATTTTCCATTGACTTATATCTAAAACACCTGGCTACATTTATCTCTATTTTCCATTGACTTATATCTAACACACCTGGCTACATTTATCTCTATTTTCCATTGACTTATATCTAACACACCTGGCTACATTTATCTGTTATCCATTTACTTATATCTAAAACACCTGGCTACATTTATCTGTTATCCATTTACTTATATCTAAAACACCTGGCTACATTTATCTCTATTTTCCATTGACTTATATCTAACACACCTGGCTACATTTATCTGTTATCCATTTACTTATATCTAAAACACCTGGCTACATTTATCTCTATTTTCCATTGACTTATATCTAACACACCTGGTTACATTTATCTCTATTTTCCATTGACTTATATCTAACACACCTGGCTACATTTATCTGTTATCCATTTACTTATATCTAAAACACCTGGCTACATTTATCTCTATTTTCCATTGACTTATATCTAAAACACCTGGCTACATTTATCTGTTATCCATTTACTTATATCTAAAACACCTGGCTACATTTATCTCTATTTTCCATTGACTTATATCTAACACACCTGGTTACATTTATCTCTATTTTCCATTTACTTATATCTAACACACCTGGCTACATTTATCTCTATTTTCCATTGACTTATATCTAAAACACCTGGCTACATTTATCTCTATTTTCCATTGACTTATATCTAAAACACCTGGCTACATTTATCTCTATTTTCCATTGACTTATATCTAAAACACCTGGCTACATATATGTCTATTTTCCATTGGCTATATATACCTCTTCTTTCTACTTACCTGTATGTTAATTACCTGAGTATATATACCTCTCCTTTCTACTTACCTGTATGTTAATTACCTGAGTATATATACCTCTCCTTTCTACTTACCTATACCTTAATTACCTGAGTATATATACCTCTCCTTTCTACTTACCTGTATGTTTATTACCTGAGTATATATACCTCTCCTTTCTACTTACCCATATCTTAATTACCTGAGTATATATACCTCTCCTTTCTACTTACCTGTATGTTTATTACCTGAGTATATATACCTCTCCTTTCTACTTACCCATATCTTAATTACCTGAGTATATATACCTCTCCTTTCTACTTACCTGTATGTTTATTACCTGACTATATACACCTCTCCTTTCTACTTACCCATATCTTAATTACCTGAGTATATATACCTCTCCTTTCTACTTACCCATATCTTAATTACCTGAGTATATATACCTCTCCTTTCTACTTACCTGTATGTTTATTACCTGACTATATACACTTCTCCTTTCTACTTACCTGTACCTTATTTACTTGGCTATTTACATCTCTATTTTCTACTCACCTGTCACATAATTAGCTGGCTACCTATATTTCAGTTTTCTATTGATCTGTCGTGCAATTACCCAACTTTCTACATAAACTAACATTTACCTGCCTCTTAAGTTTTCTAACTATATCTATTTTTCGTATGTACCAATTTCATCACCTGTGCAATCAGATAAAATTTGATGTCGCTTTCTCCGTGGAGGAGTCGCAACACCCTCCTCATCATCCTCTTCCTTATATTTTTCATCGGTGTCTTGTACAGAATTTGAATCTTCTATATCTTCTTCACTCTCGTCATCCTCTTCCTCATCGCTATCTGAAGAGGAGGTAAGTGATGCTTTCTTAGATGAAGTTGACATCTTTCGTTTCAGACATTTCCTTCTAGAAACATTTTCGTCTTCCTCCTCAGAATCTGATGGAATTCTATCCCTTTTCCTTGCTGCACCTGCTGTAACTTTTGCTTTTTTGCTTGGTTGAACGATGTCTGAATCTGACGATTCCAAGATGTTGTCAGGAATTCCCGATACTTTAGCAGATTTACGCCTCTTACATGGAACTCTTGCTTCTTCACCTGATAAAAAACACAATTTATGAGATTATTTCTTGACTAAACAAACGGTGTCTATATTATCTTCCAAAAAACCAGACAGATTATTTACTGAAAATTAAGGATGCTGAATTACTTATCTGGAACAAAGGTGGCTAGATTATTAACAAAGATGAGGAAAAACTAGATTATCTGCTAGAAATGAGGGTGACAATGTTATCTACTACAAAATAGGCCTAAGTGATTGTCTCCTGGGAATGACGGTGACAATGTCATCTACTACAATATAGGCCTAAGTGATTGTCTCCTGGGAATGACGGTGACAATGTTATCTACTACAATATAGGCCTAAGTGATTTTCTCCTGGGAATGACGGTGACAATGTTATCTACTACAATATAGGCCTAAGTGATTTTCTCCTGGGAATGACGGTGACAATGTTATCTACTACAATATAGGCCTAAGTGATTGTCTCCTGGGAATGACGGTGACAATGTTATCTACTAAAATATAGGCCTAAGTGATTGTCTCCTGGGAATGACGGTGACAATGTTATCTACTACAATATAGGCCTAAGTGATTGTCTCCTGGGAATGACGGTGACAATGTTTTCTACTACAATATAGGCCTAAGTGATTGTCTCCTGGGAATGACGGTGACAATGTTATCTACTAAAATATAGGCCTAAGTGATTGTCTCCTGGGAATGACGGTGACAATGTTATCTACTACAATATAGGCCTAAGTGATTGTCTCCTGGGAATGACGGTGACAATGTTATCTACTAAAATATAGGCCTAAGTGATTGTCTCCTGGGAATGACGGTGACAATGTTATCTACTACAATATAGGCCTAAGTGATTGTCTCCTGGGAATGACGGTGACAATGTTATCTACTACAATATAGGCCTAAGTGATTGTCTCCTGGAAATGATGGTGACAATGTTATCTACTACAATATAGGCCTAAGTGATTGTCTCCTGGGAATGACGGTGACAATGTTATCTACTAAAATATAGGCCTAAGTGATTGTCTCCTGGGAATGACGGTGACAATGTTATCTACTACAATATAGGCCTAAGTGATTGTCTCCTGGGAATGACGGTGACAATGTTATCTACTAAAATATAGGCCTAAGTGATTTTCTCCTGGGAATGACGGTGACAATGTTATCTACTAAAATATAGGCCTAAGAGATTTTCTCCTGGGAATGACGGTGACAATGTTATCTACTACAATATAGGCCTAAGTGATTGTCTCCTGGGAATGAAGCTTATGGATTATCTAAAACAGAACGAGTGTCATTTGTCTGTTAGGATATTTGGATTAAGTACATTGGCCTATCTACTATGATAAGGATTACATTATCCACCAGGAGTGAGGATTGTCTGTTAGGATATTTGGATTAAGTACATTGGCCTATCTACTATGATAAGGATTACATTATCCACCAGGAGTGAGGATTGTCTGTTAGGATATTTGGATTAAGTACATTGGCCTATCTACTATGATAAGGATTACATTATCCACCAGGAGTGAGGATTGTCTGTTAGGATATTTGGATTAAGTACATTGGCCTATCTACTATGATAAGGATTACATTATCCACCAGGAGTGAGGATTGTCTGTTAGGATATTTGGATTAAGTACATTGGCCTATCTACTATGATAAGGATTACATTATCCACCAGGAGTGAGGATTGTCTGTTAGGATATTTGGATTAAGTACATTGGCCTATCTACTATGATAAGGATTACATTATCCACCAGGAGTGAGGATTGTCTGTTAGGATATTTGGATTAAGTACATTGGCCTATCTACTATGATAAGGATTACATTATCCACCAGGAGTGAGGATTGTCTGTTAGGATATTTGGATTAAGTACATTGGCCTATCTACTATGATAAGGATTACATTATCCACCAGGAGTGAAAATTGTCTGTTAGGATATTTGGATTAAGTACATTGGCCTATCTACTATGATAAGGATTACATTATCCACCAGGAGTGAGGATTGTCTGTTAGGATATTTGGATTAAGTACATTGGCCTATCTACTATGATAAGGATTACATTATCCACCAGGAGTGAGGATTGTCTGTTAGGATATTTGGATTAAGTACATTGGCCTATCTACTATGATAAGGATTACATTATCCACCAGGAGTGAGGATTGTCTGTTAGGATATTTGGATTAAGTACATTGGCCTATCTACTATGATAAGGATTACATTATCCACCAGGAGTGAGGATTGTCTGTTAGGATATTTGGATTAAGTACATTGGCCTATCTACTATGATAAGGATTACATTATCCACCAGGAGTGAGGATTGTCTGTTAGGATATTTGGATTAAGTACATTGGCCTATCTACTATGATAAGGATTACATTATTCACCAGGAGTGAGGATTGTCTGTTAGGATGTCTGGATTAAGTACATGTAGTTGGAAGGAGCTCAAGGATTTATTTGCTTGTTTCTATGGTTATAAGGGTAAAACCAAAATCACATGAAAATTTAAAACAGCAATATGTTAAAAAACAGGTATGTTGCTGGATGTAACAAAAATGATTAATTATAAATTATAACTCACACATATGGTTCATATTTTGTTAAAGAAGCCAATCTCTTTAATTTGATATAATATGTTCCAAGTCAATGGAAGTGCTTTGTATAAATTTTGTAAAAAAAATCTTAGAAGTCAATTAAAAGATGTTCCACTGTTAGCATGGAATAACAAACCAGTGGGTCATTATCCAGCAGAATAAAGGTTAATCTGCTGGGAAGGTAGATACACCATCTGAGGGAAGGGAGAATATACTATCTGCTGGGAAGGGAGATAACCATCTGTGGGAAGGGAGAATATACTATCTGCTGGGAAGGGAGATAACCATCTGTGGGAAGGGAGAATATACTATCTGCTGGGAAGGTAGATACACCATCTGTGGGAAGGGAGAATATACTATCTGCTGGGAAGGTAGATACACAATCTGTGGGAAGGGAGAATATACTATCTGCTGGGAAGGTAGATACACAATCTGTGGGAAGGGAGAATATACTATCTGCTGGGAAGGTAGATACACAATCTGTGGGAAGGGAGAATATACTATCTGCTGGGAAGGTAGATACACAATCTGTGGGAAGGGAGAATATACTATCTGCTGGGAAGGGAGATAACCATCTGTGGGAAGGTAGATAACCATCTGTGGGAAGGTAGATACACTATCTGTGGGAAGGTAGATTCACTATCTGCTGGGAAGGTAGATACACTATCTGCTGGGAAGGTAGATACACTATCTGCTGGGAAGGTAGAATATACTATCTGCTGGGAAGGTAGATACACTATCTGCTGGGAAGGGTGTTACACTATCTGCTGGGAAGGTAGATACACTATCTGCTAGGAAGGGAGTTACACTATCTGCTGGGAAGGTAGATGCACTATCTGCTGGGAAGGAAGTTACACCATCTGAGGAAAGGGAGATACACTATCTGCTGGGAAGGGAGTTACACTATCTGCTGGGAAAGTAGATACATTATCTGCTGGGAAGGTAGATACACTATTTGCAGGGAAAGGGATACACTATCTACTGGGAAGGGAGATACACTATCTGCTGGGAAGGTAGATACACTATCTGCTGGGAAGGTAGATACACTATCTGCTGGGAAGGGAGTTACACTATCTGCTGGGAAAGTAGATACACTATCTGCTGGGAAGGTAGATACACTATCTGCGGGGAAAGGGATACACTATCTACTGGGAAGGGAGATACACTATCTGCTGGGAAGGTAAATACACTATCTGCTGGGAAGGTAGATACACTATCTGCTGGGAAGGGAGATACACTATCTGCTGGGAAGGTAGATACACTATCTGCTGGGAAAGGAGATACACTATCTGCTGGGAAGGATACACTATCTGGTGGGTAGATACACTATCTGCTGGGAGATGCACTATCTTGTGGGTAGGGAGATACACTATCTTGTGGGTAGGGAGATACACTATCTGGTGGGAAGATACATTATCTGGTGGGAAGGGAGATACACTATCTGCTTGGAAGGTAGATACACTATCTGGTGGGAAGGGAGATACACTAAAGGGAGATAAACTATCTGCTGGGAAGGGAGATACACTATCTGGTAGGAAGGGAGATACACATCTGGTATCACTATCCGGTGGGAAGGGAGATACACTATCTGGTGGGAAGGGAGTTACACTATCTGCCGGGAAGGGAGATACACTATCTGGTGGGAAGGTAGAAACACTATCTGCCGGGAAGGGAGATACACTATCTGGTGGGTAGAAACACTATCTGCTGGGAAGGTAGATACACTATCTGCTGGAAAGGGAAGGAAGATGCTGGGAAGGGAGTTACACTATCTGCTGGGAAAGTAGATACACTATCTGCTGGGGAGGTAGATACACTATCTGCTGGGAAAGGAGATACACTATCTTGTGGGTAGGGAGATACACTATCTTGTGGGAAGGGAGATACACTATCTGGTGGGTAGGGAGATACATTATCTGGTGGGAAGGGAGATACACTATCTGCTTGGAAGGTAGATACACTATCTGGTGGGTAGGGAGATACACTATCTTGTGGGAAGGGAGATACACTATCTGGTGGGAAGGGAGATAAACTATCTGCTGGGAAGGGAGATACACTATCTGGTAGGAAGGGAGATACACTATCTGGTAGGAAGGGAGATACACTATCCGGTGGGAAGGGAGATACACTATCTGGTGGGAAGGGAGTTACACTATCTGCCGGGAAGGGAGATACACTATCTGGTGGGAAGGTAGAAACACTATCTGCCGGGAAGGGAGATACACTATCTGGTGGGAAGGTAGAAACACTATCTGCTGGGAAGGTAGATACACTATCTGCTGGAAAGGGAAGGAAGATACACTATCTGCTGGGAAGGGAGTTACACTATCTGCTGGGAAAGTAGATACACTATCTGCTGGGGAGGTAGATACACTATCTGCTGGGAAAGGAGATACACTATCTGCGGCGAAAGGGATACACTATCTACTGGGAAGGGAGATACACTATCTGCTGGGAAGGTAGATACACTATCTGCTGGGAAGGTAGATACACCATCTGCTGGGAAGGGAGATACACTATCTGCTGGGAAGGTAGATACACTATCTGGTGAGTAGGGAGATACACTATCTGGTGGGAAGGGAGATACACTATCTTGTGGGTAGGGAGATACACTATCTGGTGGGAAGGGAGATACACTATCTGGTGGGTAGGAAGATACACTATCTTGTGGGTAGGGAGATACACTATCTTGTGGGAAGGGAGATACACTATCTGCTGGGAAGGGAGATACACTATCTTGTGGGTAGGGAGATACACTATCTTGTGGGAAGGGAGAATATACTATCTGCTGGGAAGGTAGATACACAATCTGTGGGAAGGGAGAATATACTATCTGCTGGGAAGGTAGATACACAATCTGTGGGAAGGGAGAATATACTATCTGCTGGGAAGGTAGATACACAATCTGTGGGAAGGGAGAATATACTATCTGCTGGGAAGGTAGATATACAATCTGTGGGAAGGGAGAATATACTATCTGCTGGGAAGGGAGATAACCATCTGTGGGAAGGTAGATAACCATCTGTGGGAAGGTAGATACACTATCTGTGGGAAGGTAGATTCACTATCTGCTGGGAAGGTAGATACACTATCTGCTGGGAAGGTAGAATATACTATCTGCTGGGAAGGTAGATACACTATCTGCTGGGAAGGGTGTTACACTATCTGCTGGGAAGGTAGATACACTATCTGCTAGGAAGGGAGTTACACTATCTGCTGGGAAGGTAGATGCACTATCTGCTGGGAAGGAAGTTACACCATCTGAGGAAAGGGAGATACACTATCTGCTGGGAAGGGAGTTACACTATCTGCTGGGAAAGTAGATACATTATCTGCTGGGAAGGTAGATACACTATTTGCAGGGAAAGGGATACACTATCTACTGGGAAGGGAGATACACTATCTGCTGGGAAGGTAGATACACTATCTGCTGGGAAGGTAGATACACTATCTGCTGGGAAGGGAGTTACACTATCTGCTGGGAAAGTAGATACACTATCTGCTGGGAAGGTAGATACACTATCTGCGGGGAAAGGGATACACTATCTACTGGGAAGGGAGATACACTATCTGCTGGGAAGGTAAATACACTATCTGCTGGGAAGGTAGATACACTATCTGCTGGGAAGGGAGATACACTATCTGCTGGGAAGGTAGATACACTATCTGGTGGGAAAGGAGATACACTATCTGCTCGGAAGGTAGATACACTATCTGGTGGGTAGGGAGATACACTATCTGGTGGGAAGGGAGATGCACTATCTTGTGGGTAGGGAGATACACTATCTTGTGGGAAGGGAGATACACTATCTGGTGGGTAGGGAGATACATTATCTGGTGGGAAGGGAGATACACTATCTGCTTGGAAGGTAGATACACTATCTGGTGGGTAGGGAGATACACTATCTTGTGGGAAGGGAGATACACTATCTGGTGGGAAGGGAGATAAACTATCTGCTGGGAAGGGAGATACACTATCTGGTAGGAAGGGAGATACACTATCTGGTAGGAAGGGAGATACACTATCCGGTGGGAAGGGAGATACACTATCTGGTGGGAAGGGAGTTACACTATCTGCCGGGAAGGGAGATACACTATCTGGTGGGAAGGTAGAAACACTATCTGCCGGGAAGGGAGATACACTATCTGGTGGGAAGGTAGAAACACTATCTGCTGGGAAGGTAGATACACTATCTGCTGGAAAGGGAAGGAAGATACACTATCTGCTGGGAAGGGAGTTACACTATCTGCTGGGAAAGATACATATCTGCTGGGGAGGTAGATACTATCTGCTGGGATACACTATCTACTGAAGGTAAGGTATACACTATCTGCTGGGAAGGTAGATACACTATCTGCTGGGAAGGGAGATACACTATCTGCTGGGAAGGGAGATACACTATCTTGTGGGTAGGGAGATACACTATCTTGTGGGAAGGGAGATACACTATCTGGTGGGTAGGGAGATACACTATCTGGTGGGAAGGGAGATACACTATCTGGTAGGAAGGGAGATACACTATCTGGTGGGAAGGTAGATACACTATCCGGTGGGAAGGGAGATACACTATCTGCTGGGAAGGGAGTTACACTATCTGCCGGGAAGGGAGATACACTATCTGGTGGGAAGGTAGATACACTATCTGCTGGGAAGGTAGATACACTATCTGCTAGAAAGGGAAGGAAGATACACTATCTGCTGGGAAGGGAGATACACTATCTGGTGGGTAGGGAGATACACTATCTGGTGGGTAGGGAAATACACTATCTGGTGGGTAGGGAGATACACTATCTGGTGGGTAGGGAGATACACTATCTGGTGGGTGGGGAAATACACTATCTGCTGGGAAGGAAGTTACACTATCTGCTGGGAAGGGAGATACACATCTGGTAGGAAGGTAGATACACTATCTGGTGGGAAGGCAGATACACTATCTGGTTGGAAGAGAGATACACTATCTGCTGGGAAGGAAGTTACACCATCTGGTGGAAAGGTAGATACACTATCTGGTGGGAAGGAAGATACACTATCTGATGGGAAGATAGATACACTATCTGCTTGTAAGGGAGATACACTATCTGGTGGGAAGAGAGGTACACTATCTGCTCGGAAGGTAGATACACTATCTGCCGGGAAGGGAGATAGTTGGATAGTGAGAATAATACCAAAATGACTATCACAATAGCTGTATCATTGGTTGACAGAAGAGAGAGACATCTGCTATTGATATAGAGGGTTCCAATACCCTGGTAAAACATAATCTATGTACAAGTGGGGAGGGTATATTAGGTTTGGCTTTTTAATCTTTCTTGGCAACCATCATTGTTTGGTCTTCATTTGTTCTTTAAAAACAGGAATCTTTTCCTTTCTTTTCTATTCTTTCATTTATTTTGCTTTAAATTTGCTCTTAAACATATCTGGAAATTCCTTTTACAAAAAAAAAGATAATCATCTTTATTTGTCAAATCCAAGATGGTCACCTCCTTGTCATTTCGTTTTCAGATCAGCCCCTTATTCAATTGGGCACATAAAGGGACCAAGGGGAAGTTACACAAGAAACATATGATTACTGTAGAAAGATTCACCCAGTATTTCTCAGGAAATAGCAATGAAAAACTTTCATATGCAAAATCCAAGATGGCTGCCTGTTTGCCATTTTGTCATTGTGATTACTCCCAAATTCAAAAGGCACAACTAGGGACAAAGGGAAACCTTGATATGAAATTTGAGAAAGATAGATCCAGTATTATACAAATTGTTTACAAATGGACGACCGACCAGGGATATAGGGGAATTTGAATAGCCAACCATTTCTAAAGGTTGAATTTACTAAAGAGCGAAAATAACATTTCTATGCAAGGGTGAAAAACATCATTGCCAAAGATTTCTTTGTATGTATATGCATATATATGTATGTGTGTGTGGGTGTATACCAAATCTAACCACAATAAAACACAACAGCTGATCTGAAAATTTCTACATATGTTACCTAATTGCACAGAACCACTGCAAATACAGCATTTAAATAAAAGATTACAGTAAATATTCTGAATGTAAGTACCGGAATACACATCTGTGTCTGAGGAATCTGGCTGTGATGCAGAATTTGGCTCCTTCTTCTGGCCTGACGTTGACTTCATCCAACGCTTCCAATTTGTATCCATCAGGTTAATGACAGGGGTGCTAGCATTTTCTGTGGGATGGACTTCTGCTATGTGCTCAATCACCAAAAACCTAAATGGAAAGTAATCAATTGAAAAACATCAAAACATAAAAAGGAGATATTGTATATTTGCATCAATATATGTATCAATTATTGAAATAAACCAAAGGACGCACGGCCTGTAGGTACACATACATAATCATCTACAATATACAAGTGTCAGAATGGAGGATGGATATAATAACATACACAATTAAATTGACAATTTAATGTTAACAATATTATCTACTGGAAACATTCACCATTTTGATCATCTAATACATCTACTATTTGTGTATTTGTAACATTTCTTAAATCCATGGCTGACTTCAGAAATCTACATATATTGAGTTGTTGTTTATAGTTTTCCTCTGTTAGTAACTTAATAAGTTTGTACACTGATGGGTGATTATAAAAATCTCTTTTTTTAGAGTAGTTTGCATATTTTGCTGTGTTTATCGCCTGTGACCAGCCAGTGTTCTTTTGAGACGGGTGACCTAGTAATAGTTAGTGACTGCCTCACTGAACAACATATGGGAGGACCATCTAATGTCATCGAGGGCAATAAGGGCTAAGCACAACAGCACAGACTAGACATTTCTTAACTTCCTGAGAAACACACAATCAACCTTGGGTACTGAACTAAACACCTCAGACCTTCTGAAGTTACGGAGGTCAACGCTCCATTTGACTGAAATATTGTGACCTCTTGAAAAAAATATCTTGTATAAGTAAAAGTAATAAATATCACAAAAAATGACACAATGGGCAATATTCATATTCTAAATGGGCAGTCATACCAACAGTTTATTTTTCCTAATTTTTAAAAAATTAAAAAATGACACAATGGGCAATATTCATATTCTAAATGGGCAGTCATACCAACAGTTTATTTTTCCTAATTTTTAAAAAATTAAAAAATGACACAATGGGCAATATTCATATTCTAAATGAGCAGCCATACCAACAGTTAATTTTTCCTAATTTTTAAACAATTCAAAAATGACACAATGGGCAATATTCATATTCTAAATGGGCAGTCATACCAACAGTTTATTTTTCCTAATTTTTAAAAAATTAAAAAATGACACAATGGGCAATATTCATATTCTAAATGGGCAGTCATACCAACAGTTTATTTTTCCTAATTTTTAAAAAATTAAAAAATGACACAATGGGCAATATTCATATTCTAAATGAGCAGCCATACCAACAGTTAATTTTTCCTAATTTTTAAACAATTAAAAAATGACACAATGGGCAATATTCATATTCTAAATGGGCAGTCATACCAACAGTTTATTTTTCCTAATTTTAACAAATTAAAAAATGACACAATGGGCAATATTCATATTCTAAATGGGCAGTCATACCAACAGTTTATTTTTCCTAATTTTTAAAAAATTAAAAAATGACACAATGGGCAATATTCATATTCTAAATGAGCAGTCATACCAACAATTAATTTTTCCTAATTTCTAAAAATTTAAAGCAAGTAAAGTGCTGTTAGTGTGAAATTGAGGACTTATGAAGCAACTATGAAATCTCACACTTTAAAAAGAGTGGATTTACCTATTGAGTGTAAGGGAAAAAAGGGACTACATTTGGACTATCTTGCTACTTATATTTCACTTACCTTGGATAACCTGTGTGGTTACAGAAAGGACATTTGTAGAACTGTGGAAGGTGCTTGTACACATGAAAGGTCATTTCCTGCTTTTTATTCGATTCAAATGGACATTCAATACACTTAAAGACAGTTCGTTTCCCACCAAATTCTTTGTAAAGACGCTTTGGTCCATTCCTTACTTTCTTGAAATCCTCTACTGTAAAAGTCTTGTTGACGAAGTAATGTGGATTTCCTGTCCTTAGGCACCTGGCAATTTTCTCTTCAGTGGCAGCAATGCGTTTGACTGTGAAATTGACCTTTTGGTCTGGACCATGTAATCTAGTGTGGTGCATTTTAACATGCTGTTCCATATGAAAGAGCATTCCACAAATCCCACATTTGAATGGTTTGTAGTTAAGATGCTTTTGAATATGCACATGCATGACATCATACTTTTGGTTAACAAATCCACATCCCTTTACTGCTACACATTTGTAGTGATCCGTTGTGTCAATATTCCTAGCTGAATAGGATGCTTTAGACAGTTTTTCTGAAGCCGAGGTCTTTTTCTCTTTGTCTGAAGGGGCACTTTCAGATTTCTTTCTATCTTTTCTCTTTAATCTTTTGGGAGCATCACGCCATCCAAAGAGACGGTTTGTAGTTGTAATGCTTTTGTTCAGTATTGCATTCTTTCTGTTAAACAAGCAGGTAAACTTGTATGCTATCTTGCTATGTTTGTCTGTCTTTGGTATATGATAAAATTTCAGATTCATTTTCTTGTGAACATCAATTATATGATACATCATGTGCCTTACAGATACTGTTGCAAACTTTTTACAGAAAAAGCAACAGATAGACTTTGTGGAATGTTTGTTGTTACAATGTAGCTGGCAGGCGAAACAACCTTTGCTTTCTATCCCACATTCTCCACAGACAATCTCTCTCATGTCAGATGCCTTTGAGAACGTCAAATTATCGGGTATTTTTTCCTGTTTTTTGCTGAGTGCCTTGTCCTCCTCTTTACCAGGAGATGTTTCCTCCTTTTTATCGACTACTTTGTTCTCAGTTTTGCTCGGTGTTCGTTCATCCTTTCGGCGAAGTGGTCTTTCACCTTTCGGGCGATGCAATAAGTTTCCTTTGACAACACACTTTTCAAGCTTCAATTTCTTAGTGTTAATTTCTGTGGGACTTTTCTTAACTGAATGTACTTTCTGCATGTGCTTGATGCACTTCTGACGATCCAAGAACACACTTGCGCAATATCTAGATGAACAAAGGAACCATGGCTTGTCACATTTTGAGTCCGTTCTGAGATGCTTCATAAAAGGTGTTCTCAGTCTAAAGTCCTTCTTACAAACCAGACAGGTAAAGCCTTCCTTAATATCAGCGTTGTGGACCTCTAGACCATGCCGGTAAAGATTTGACTTACACTGAAGGACAGCTGTACACAAAGGACACTTGTACTGTCCTTTAGAGTTGACCTTGACGTCACAAGTGTAGAGCACAACCTTTTGTTTGCCTTTTTCATCATCATCTATTTCAGTACCATCATTCTCATCATCATCTATTTCAGTACCATCATTCTCATCATCATCTATTTCAGTACCATCATTTTCATCATCACTCGTAGCATCTTCATCATCACCATCAACACTGGTAACTGTATCTTTCATCTTCATGTCATTGCTCTTTTTATCATTGCTCTCAACATCACTCTTGGATTCATCGCTTTCTTCATCATCACTATTTTGTTTACTGCCAGCCTCCTCCTGTTCCTTCCAGATGACCTTCACATTGTGCATACACTGGATATGTCGACACATATTGTTTCCCCACTTAGAACAATAGTGACAATAGTTACATCTATAGAGACCACTTCTCTTCTTCAACTCATGTCTGTATAGAGTTTTCACTGTGCCTGCTTGAGCTGGAGGAATTATACCGTTACCAACTGATGGAGTCTTATGGGCATCAGTTTTTTTCCTACCCACACTTGGACTGTTCTTATTAATGTCTGTTTTCTTGGAGACAGATGAATTGATATTGAGAGAACTTTGACTTCTTGCTGAGTTAGCAATATCTTCGCTCTGGGCAATGTCTTTCAGATTTGATTTAGATATTTGGTTACCCAACAGTTCTTTAAATTCTCTTGAGCGTGGGGTCTGGTCAGTTTTATTCTGGCATGCTTCTGGGTGCCTTTTGGCCATGTGAAGACTTAAGTCTCCTGCAACTGATGACTGGAATGCACAAAGATCACAATAGTATTTGTTAACTTGAGAATGTACTCCCAGATGTCGAACTACAGAATCTCTGTTGGAAGACTTGAAGCTACAAATTGAACACTTGTGAAATACACCGAATGTTAGGACTTTTCCTTCACCAGCTTTGTTTTGTGCTGTCAAACTTTTCTCTGAAGCATGTATGGAATCTTTCTCTGGTGAGTTCTTGCTACTGCCCTTGGATTTCTCATCATTAGATGTATTTTGTGTTTTGCTGTTTTGACTGCTCTCTGTTATCTCTTTCGCTTCACTGTGATTTGAATCTTGAACACTTTCCTCAACAGTGCTTCTGCCTAGCTCTTGTTTCCTGATATTTATTAAAGAAGACACAGACACACCTGCCTTTCTGCAGTGTATTATTTGATTGATTCTGTTTTTAAAGTCATCTACTTCCATTTTCAGAATTTTAGATGGGTGGTTCTTATGATGCTTTCTTAAATGACTTGTCATGGCTATCTGCTCAAAACAATGGAAGTCACAGTGTCCACACATAAAGAACCACAGATTCATGTGCCTGAGCAAATGTTTGTGAAACTCATATTTATCATGAAAGTACCCATCACTGCAAAGATCACATACAAGTGTGTTGTCCTTTTCTTGTGAGAAGCATGGCCTCAGCTTAACATGCAACAGGCCACCTCCCAGTCTGAATATACTGTCGCAGTCTTGACTTTTCCTGTGTGGATTAAGTGCCACTTCTTCATTCACCAAATCTTGAGATTTTTGTTTTGTCATTGAAACATCATTAGATTTCTGACTGTTATTTCTACGTCTTCGCTGGACACGATCATTTTCTGATGTTGAGTCATCCTTTTCATATTCATCCGTACTTTCATCTGTCAACAGATTTATCACATCCTGGTCAACAACAGAATCCTCAGATGAAATATCCATCACCTGTGTGTTGCAATGCTGACCTACTGATACAATTTGTCTTTCTGATTTCTTGCTACAGTCAATCACTTCACTTTCATCACCAATCTTTTTAACCTTAGAAGTCCCAGATTTCTCTTTCTTAATTTTAATTTCTTCTGTGGAATCACTCGAGTCCTCAAAACTTGGGTAAAGAGTCGGATGTTTGGTAACATGAATAACCAGGGTTGCACGATCTCTTGTAGAAAAATCACACTCACAACAACTCACTGGCTGGGGAAATGTTGTCTGTGAAGGAATCAAGAATGCTTTGTGATTTTTTACAACTGCAGGTGATTCAACGAAATTGCTGGATGTCTTGCATGACTCTGTTGCTCCTTGTTCTACACGAATTACCTCCCTTCGTTGTTTTGTAGACTTGGAGGCATGTTTGTGTTGTTCACGATAATGACGTTCCAACCATAGCCTCTCTGTGGTGGTGTAGTCACAGTACAGACATTTCAGCAGTCTTATTTCATAGTTTTTCTTTGTAACCTTTGCATGAAACTCCATGTGTGTTTTTAACTGATCTGTTGAAGAGAAGCATTTAGAACACTCACAGCAGTGATATCTCTTTGACACCTGACTTTGATACAAGCTATCTGATTTGTCGTCTGACTGAGACACGACCTCTTCTGAACTCGTGGTCACTGATTTTTTTGATTGATCTCTGTGATCATGTGTTTGCTCCATTGAAGTGCTAGATTTATTCTGAAGGCTTTCAAAAGCACTGACAGGCTGAGTGGAAGATTTTGCTGACTCTATTGGTGGAGACTTCATGTACTTTGATGTTTCATATTCTGATGAAGGTTTCCGATTTCTTTTTTCCTTATTCAACTGTTTTTGATGCATGTTATTGATATGGATATCAAATGTAGATTTATCTTTAGTGTGGTATATGCAGTATGGACACTTTTGTTCCTCCGTTACTGCTAGCTTTGGAAGAGACTCTTCAACATGTGTTTCAGCATGCTTATCAAAAACCTCCTGGCTAGTTGTACAAAAATCACATTCGTCACACACAAATGCCTTGAAAGAAAATTTCATATCCCTTGTTGAAATGTCTGCGTCTTTATTAAAGTTTTGATGGTATTGTACCCCATGCCTTTCAATAATCTCTTGTGTGTTTGTGACTAACTGACAGAAATCACAGTAGTACATTGTAACATTGTAATCACCAATATGGCTTTTCATATGTGTGCGGAACAACTGAATGGTTGTCATACCATCTGGACAAAGAGGGCAACTAAAAAATTTTTCAACCTGACCTTTCACTCCGTGAATGTTGTTGTGGTGCATCATAGAAACCTTATCCTTGGTAGCAAAGGAACATTTCTGACATTTCTGAAGAACAGTGGATAAAGTGCTGTCTACATGGAAAAACTGTGGATCTTCCTCATTTGTGGAACATTCTAAATGTGACAGAGAAGGTGTTGGGGAGACTGTTGAATCACATGCTGAGACTTCACTTACAACAGTCTCCTTCATATTCAGTGATAATGATGGCCTTGTGTTTCTTGCATTGCCCAGTGTAATAGATCCTGAAATGTGGTGATCTTCAGCCCCTTTGGTTTTGGCCAGCTCCTCCGATATATTAGCTTCCAGTGATACTTGATTGTCCTCAGAGGAGTCGGACAAGCTTTCAAATGTTCGACCTGTAGTATCCGCTTGAGTTGGGGTAGAGGTCCCTTGAAATGTATTTGCTTGTGGTTGCACCAGTTGTGCAGAGTCGGCTTCCCCTGGAGTTGGAGTAGATGACTCTTCTATGATGTGTCTACCAACGAAATCATTTTTCTGTCTGTCTCGGCATACAATCTCACAGGCTACTGTTACATGTCGAGATTCGCTAGGATGTGTAGATGCTACATGCTGCTTAATGAGATTAGCATCAGTATCTGCAACTTTACAATATGGACACCTCACAAACTTCAATGTGTTCTCCTGAATGTGATTAGTTAGGTCATCAATAGATGTAAAACTCAGCTCACAGAATGTACACATTAATATGTTGGAGCGTGAATGGACTTCCACTAAATGATAACTATAATCATGCAGAAGATTGGTTTGAAACCTACAACCACCGATGCAACAAGAGAAATACACTGAAGAACTTTTCAGATGTGAGTGAAGATGTCGGATTAGAAGTTGAGGTGTGGAACAACGAAAACCACAGTGAACGCACAAAAACGACGTGGCATCTTTGTGGATGGTGAACAAATGTTTGTAGAAGTCAGCTATATCAAAGCAGCTAAATTCACATGAATTAAACCCCCCACACACATAAAAATTTCCAGTAGTCCTTTCTGAATGTGTAGGATCAAATTCAGCTTCAGCGCCTTGAGCAACTGGTTGGTCAGTAACCATGTTTACGCTTTCTTTGGAACATGGTTCTTCTTGATTTTCCCGTTTTTTCTTGGCAACAAACTGGTATATAAATTGCCGACCACTCTCACTGACTGTGAAGTTAGTAGCTGCTCTGGTAATGTCTGTGCTAACCATAGAGGTTAAGTCCTTAATAACTTCAGTCGAAGGATCATTTCTCAATTCTAGTCCAGCTCTCTTGTTTCTTGATGATGCATTAGATGCCACAGCACCTAACAAAGAGGATCTGGTGTCTTCAACCACCTTTTGACAATCTTTCGGAGTCATGACATTCATTTGTGCAGCATTGGAGACATCACCTGGCTCCGTTCTCAGTGGACTAGTTCTGTTTGGATTAGCAACTACCTTGTTAGCAGTTTTCTCCTGACCACTGTCAGTAGACGTAGCTACCAGAGACCTAGCAATAGCTGTTTCCCCTAAGTTTTGTACCGTTCCCAATTTCATTTCTTCTCGACTTGTATATTCTCTCTCTTTATTTACAGGCACATTTGTGGTATTTTTTAATGAAGATGTTTGAACAACCTCATGTTTTACTGATACGACTTGATGTCCCACTTTCTTCGGAGGTGGAATGTGTTCCAATATGACCACATCATCATCCTCATCAGGTTCAGCCTTGATCTGAACTGGCTCGGCATCTGCAGTAGCAACTGAACATCCATATTTGAGACCATCAAT